TGCTTAACAACCATGGTGCCACGGCAAAATATATTGCAAAATCGGTCACGATCCATGGTGGGTTCCTACCAGTTCGGGCGAGTAGGTAGTAACTTGGTCTGCCACGCCCCTGAACCAGTTCTATCGCCGGTGCTGCCATCTTGATTTTAGGTTCTGCCCATGCGCAGAACAATCTTCATACGCAGAAGTGTAATTTCTTTCCTTTTCTAACGTTGTGCGCATGCACAAACCTGTTTAGGTGCAAATGTGCATGCACATGGAGCAAATTTTTTGTGCACCAAACCGGCAGTAATGCCGGCAGCAACCCACCCCTGGCCATGATCACATGATGATCTGTTTAGCTAAACTGCCACGATTCATGACTCCCGATTCTGGGCTCAGTTATGATTGTAAGTTGAGGACCTGTAATTGCAATTAATATTGTACACTGCCCAAGGCCTCAAGGAGATGGACTGTTTAGAAACATGAAATATAAATAAATAATATGTAATCGGACTAAAACGTATTAGCAGATATTTACAGAAGGAATTTTCTACATGCCCAATTTGTGATGCAATACAAATGCGAAAGCACATGAAATGAGAAATTGAAGAAGATGGGATCATGGTTAGGGTGAGGTGCATTCAATTTTGAGAGACTGTCTCATAAGGATCAAAAAATTCCACTCCTACTACTCATAATGACTCTGTTGTACATGAAAGCGTACAGGTCAATGGTGGCTACTGCCCATCTATTAAGAGAGAGAGAAAAAATAAGCTTTCCTAGACTAATCTGACCTGCAGTACACGACTCATCCACTGAAAACTATCTTCTTCAGAAGCATCAGGCCGTTGTTCAGCTACCACCACAATCCTTTCATCATAAAACACAGTGACAGAGAACACAGCAATCCTAAAAAGAAACAGAAGAGAGGTTGTATGGATGGGCTCTGTTTGCCTTACAGGGTGATCAGCTTTATCCCAAATAGTGTCTGGGAGATATGCAGAAAACCAAAACTGCACGAGATTACCAAATGTTAAAGCACATTAAGAGCAAAGAACATGAATTCTCATGAAATGGGATGGCATTACGAAGTTTCAGTATTGACAGCAGGGTGATGTCCTCACCACATCCTTTGCTTGTACAAATCCTTGGCACTATATTTTTGGGGGTTGTTTTATTTTATTTTTGTTTCAATCAAACAGATGGCAGCCTGCAACACTAATTGCCACATATTTTGGACTGATATTTTAATGAAATAAAAATAAAGAAATCTGTTATCTGTACTAGAATTATTAAAGCTGCCAATTCGAAGTGGGGGAAATGGGGAGGTCATAGGTAGCAGCCATCCCCTTAGCAATGCTGGCCTGTGTTTATTCCATATAAAAAGGGGGGGGGATTTCTGAGAGGTCCCTGGTGCTCCCTCAGATTGCTTGTTTTCTTGAAGATACTTCATTACCCTAACTAGGTAACGTCATCAGTGCCACCGGTAGTAAGGACTGCTGTTTGCTGTCAGTTTATACTTTGTTGTCTTGCCTGTCTGTCTTGGTGGGTGGGGGCACTTACAACATTCTTTGGTTGAGCTGTTTACTGATGGCTCTTTGGCAGTTTCTTGACTGGGGTATTGCTTACTTGATTGTTGGTCTGAAGTTAACCTTGGAGATAATCTATGCTTATCTGGGTGCTGATTATGGATGGAGAGATGCTGGAGCCCTTTTGTTCTCTTTGGGACTGGTCTTTTTCTACTGCATTTTTTGAGGGGGATGGTGGCAAAAAATAAAATGATTTCTGTCAAATGTTTGGGGAGAAAGAGAATGTTTTCATAGGAAGATGCAGTTCTTCACTTATTAATCCTACTGCAAGTCTAGATGGAGATTTTTAAAATCATCGCCCCCCCCCCACTTTTTTTCTCAGAATAAACAACACACAGCAATCCCGAGGAGCGCGGTCACTCC